TGGTCATGGAGCCATCAAAGAGGGCAGATGTCAACTGCTGGAGAGAGTGCATGGACAGAAGTACAAGGAAAATAAAGTCCAGCTCTTCCCGGTTGACCACTTTGTGCCCCTACTTCACAGAGCTGTGATCTAATCTCTGAACCCTTTTCCTTATCTGCAAAATGAGGATAATAATTTTTATCTCAGAAGGTTGATGAAAATACTAAATAATTTACCGTCTGTTCCTTCCTAGAGAAAACTTAAGCATATATCAGAACAAAGGCACATAAATGATAACGGCTACCATTTATTTCTAAGTACCTACTCCGTAAGAAGTCCTATATACATAGTTTTCTCACTTAATTCTGTGAGGAAACCATTATGCTTATGTTACCAGTAAGGAATCTGAGGCCCAGAGAAGTTAAATCACTGTGCAAAGTCACACAGCTAGCAAGCAGCAGAACTGAGGCCTGTAACCACGTCTGTCTGGCTCAAGGCATGTACTGATTGACTGTAACATCATTTGCCTTCAAGGATTTGCCAAAAACCCTTGTCCCCAGACCTTAAGTAAATTTAGAATGCTGAGTCAGATTGGGGCCGAAGGAATCAAAGAATAATTGGGTCATATAATGCTATGATTTTATGCTAATCTTGGCACTAAAGAGACATTGTCTCGAAATCTGGAAGACTGTAACTGCCTATCTGGTCTCTAGCCACTGGGCCTCCAGTCTGGCCTCCCTCCAATCCATTCTCCTCACTGTAGCCACAGAGAACATTCTCCTGCTTCTATCAGTGGTTCCCAGCTGCCCTCAGGATTATATCCAAACCCACTGGGGCCAGGGCTTGGCCTGTTCTTAGTAGGCCCTATCCCATTTTTAAAATCAAATGCATTAAAATATACCCATATCACTTACTAAATATGAATTCTATCATGTAAAATCTTTGAAACAATTCATTTGAATTTTGGAATTATTAATTTAAATGTTCATTTTTCCTATGTGGGTGTCAATAAATTTTTTTCAGGTCTGAAATACTTGGGACCTCCAGGGTCCATAGCCCCAAGTACTGTGCATATAATACCTAATGGTGAGACAGCCCTGTGTGTAGGCCCCGTCGCCCTGCCCTGTATGTCAGGCTTTCTGTAAATCCTTTTTCCTCTGCCTAGAACTTTGCTTCTGCTTCTTCTAAAACTGTACACTGCCCACACTATTCTCCCCCCCTTCCTTGCCCTGCAGTCTATTTATTTTAAGTTCATATGTACTTAACCTGTTTCCTCATCGGTAAAGTGGGAATAGCAGTGTTATTTCACAGGATTATTAAGAAGACAGAATACGTTAATACACCAAAGCCTTTCTACACAAAGTATCCTGGGAGCTTGTTGGAAATGCAGACTCTCAGGCCCCACCCCAGAGGTACTGAATCAGAACCTGCATTTCACCAAGATCCCCTGCGATTCGGACCCATTTATGTTCGAGGAGCACTGCACTCCCACACCGAGAACCATGTCTGTTATCGAAGAAGCACTCGATAAATGATGGCCAGTATGAAGGTGATGAAAGGTCAGGCTTTTACAGTTGTTTCTGGTTTTCCTTCTTGCCTTACGTTCACTTGCAGACTCTAGTTCAGTGGTTCTCAAACGGTGTTCCTGGGAACCTAGGGCACTCCGGGAGCCGGCCCATGGCACTTCAGCTACTGCTGCGGCAGCAATGAAGACCATGGCGCCCGCGCTCAGGTCCCTTCGCTCCATCTGCAGAGGGAGACGGACAAGGAAAAGGGCAATTGCAATATCGCTCTTTTTGTATTACGAGGGCTATCAAATATTGTATTACGAGGGCTATCAAAAAGGGAAGTAGAGGTGCTGGAGCATCTTGTGGGGTCCAGGAAAGCGTTATCTAAGACCCGAGAGTTGAGTTGGTAACTCAAGATTCCCCCCGAAAGTGGCAAAACAGTTTCTACTGGAAGAGCAGACCGACTGCTCCCGTGATGCGAGCGGGGAGCAAGTTCCAGAAAAGATGCGACCTCTTGGCCGGTGGCAGATGCGCTCAGGCGCGGCTCCAGCTACCGCCGCTGAGAAAACGTGGTGGCTTTGGCTTCGCGGCAAAGCAGCCGCCCGGTGGCTTCATCTCTCCCGGTGGCTTCATCTCTCCGCGCCTCGGTTTCCTCGTCTCCAGCCCTAAAATGGCGACACGCCCCACAGGTCTCGGGAGGGTGACGTGAGGGGGCAGAGTCGTGTTCCCGAATCCAATCGGGTGTTTCTTCCCTTCTCCCCTCCCTAGTTCGCGAGCCGCGTGGCCGCGAGGGGATGTAGGCCCGAGGGCTGGCGCGACGGCCGCGGCGAACCTTTCTTCCGCGGTCCCGGCTCCACGCGGCGCGAGGCGGGGAGGCTGCGAGGCTGCGACGGCGCCGAGGCTCCAGACAGCCGCGCCCCGGGGGCAGGGCAGGTGGGTCCCTGAGGGTCCCGGGGGGCGCTGCGGGCGAGAAGACGGGCCTGGGTGTGCCTGGAGCCCTCGGCGGCCCTCGCTGGAGGCCTGGGCGGCTGCAGGGGGACAGAGCGGCGCAGGGCGGCCGCGGAGAGCAGGTAGTCGCGGGGCGCGGGGCGTCGCGGGGAACAGGGCGGCCGGGTCCCGAGGTGAAGGCGCCTGTCGCGGGGAGGCGAAGGGTCCTGTGCTGAGCAGGCGGCCGCGGCCTGCGGGCCCACTCGGGGGAACTGCAGGACGGCCCCGGGCGCTGGGCTGAAGAGGCCGCGGCGGCCGGGCTAGCTGGGGAGGGAGGGCCGGGCTAGCTGGGGAGGGAGGGCCGGGCCGGCGGGCGCGGGGCCCGCGGAAACCAGGTCAGCTGACGCGGGCGGGCGAGCCGGGCAGGGGAGCGGGGCCCCGAGCCCACTTCCCGCATCCGGTCCCGGCGCGCTCGGGGCTGGGCTGAGCTGCGTCACGTGGCTGCACCTCTTTCTTCCCCCGCGGGAGGCCCGGGCCGCCCTCACCTTTCCCGACGCAAACCTCGCCGCGCAGCCCCTTCCCCTTCGTCTCCGCCGCGCAGCCCCTTCCCCTTCGTCTCCGCCGCGCCCCCCGCCCCCAGCCCGCCCCGTCCGCGGGCAGCGCCGCCGGCTGCAGAGTCCGGGGAGCGCCAGTCCGGGCTATTTGGGTTCCATTTTTCTCACAAGAGTCCTTGATTTCCTGCTGAGTTTTCCCTAGGCGTCCCTCAGTTATTAATAATAATGGCCCCGGGCGCGGTGGCTCACGGTTGTAGAGGTGGGTTTTGTTGTTGTTGTTGTTGTTGTTGTTTTGTTTTGTATTTTTAGTAGAGACGGGGTTTCACCGTGTTAGCCAGGATGGCCTCGATCTCCTGACCTCGTGATCCGCCCGTCTCGGCCTCCCAAAGTGCTGGGATTACAGGCTTGAGCCACCGCGCCCGGCCCGGCCTTATAATCTTAAAACATCTAGCAGTGTCGGTATACATCTGTTTGACCAATAGACCAGGCAACAATGTCTGAACTATATTTATAGTCTTCAAACTTTCTAATTTAATTTTAACAACAATTCAAAAACTAATTTTATTTCCACCGCGCCCGGCCCTGGCTCACTCCTGTAATCCCAGCACTTTGGGAGGCCGAGGCGGGCGGACGTGAGGTCAGGAGTTCAAGACCAGCCTGGCCAGCATGACGAAACCCCGTCTCTACTAAAAATACAAAACTTAGCCGGGTGTGGTGGCGGCGCCTGTAATCCCAGCTACTGGGGAGGCTGAGGTAGAAGAATCGCTTGAACTCGGGAGGCGGAGGTTGCAGTGAGCCGAGATCGCGCCATTGCACTCCAGCCTGGGCAGCAAGAGCGAAACTGTCTCAAAAAACAAACAAACAAACAAACAAACAAAAAACTACCGCTTCTGGGCCCTTTGTATGAAGGAAGCATTTTGCATAGACTCTTTTTTCTCTCTGATCTTTTAGGGCCACAGTGTAAGTATTATTAACCCCGACTTAAGATGAGAAAACTTGAAGTTCAGGAAAGTTAATGTGCTCAAGGTCACAGCTAGTCAATGGCTCAACTGGGATTCACATCTTAGGCTGTCAAACCGAAACTATGTGCCCTTTTCCGCCGTCCACACCCCAAGGGGAGGTCATGCCAGGATCATGTAGAACGACGGTGTTCTGCTAGATTCTATGCTAAAGCAGCACTGTCCTCAAAGACAGATATTTTCTGAGCCAGTCTAGGAAATAACCTAGCTCCAGGGCAGTGTTAGAAGAGACTGCCCTTACAGCCTGTTTTTTGTTTTGTTTTGTTTTTTCTGAGACGGAGTCTCGCTCTATCGCCCAGGCTGGAGTGCAGTGGCGCGATCTCCGCTCACTGCACCTTCCACCTCCCGGGTTCAAGCAATTCTCCTACCTGAGTAGCTGGGACTACACGCGCCCGCCACAATGCCCAGCTAATTTTTTGTATTTTTAGTAGAGACGGGGTTTCACCGTGTTAGCCAGGATGGTCTCGATCTCCTGACCTCGTGATCCACCCCCCTCGGCCTCCCAAAGTGCTGGGATTACAAGCGTGAGCCACCGCACCCAGGCGGCCTCCCAAAGTGCTGGGATTACAAGCGTGAGCCACCGCACCCAGCCCCAGCCTGTTTCTTTAGCACAAGAGTCTGGTCAGAGCTAGTGATCTGGAATTCTTTCCTGACTCCGGGAGAAGCATTTTGATTTGGGGCACTCTCCTCCCATCCTCATGGCCTCTCCCCACCCCTTTCACCCTGAGGAGAAAAGTAGGCTTTGCTTTTGTCCAGAGACTGTCCAACTGGAACCCACCTGCAGATCAACGTGGACATCAACCCACTGCGTCCTGCAAAGCAGGAGGTGGAGAGGGTGAGGGGAGGGGAGGGGAGGGAAGGGAGGCAGGAGGGGCAACTCAGTGCAGCCACTTTCCCGTGCCCCCTTCCAAGTGGGAAGGTAGGGCTGTTCCGGAAGGGAGAAGCAATAGTTTTGAAAACCAGAGAGCAGTCTGCACGTGGAAGGCAGAATTTTTGTTCTGATGAGACATTAGTAGGGCAATGGCTGGTTTTCATTATTTGAAAGCAGTACAAGCACATCGTCAAATAACTTCACCTCATAAACATGGTTACATAAGAGAAAAGCCTGAAAACCACCTGGAGGACCCATACCGTAAGAACTCTAGACACAGGCAAGGCAAACAATTTCTGAAGATCACTTCTAACCCCAGTCTCTTAAGTTGCAGCCTTCCTTCCATTCTTCTGGGACTGAAGTTGGGAGTGGTCTGTAGCATTGGAGCCACGGCGGAGGGGTTGGAGTGGGGTGATGGAATGGAGGTATGATTCTCCTTTTCTGTATGAGTAAACAAAACACAAACAGAACAATTAAAAATAAAAATGTGGCCTAGCACAATGGCTCACACCTGTAATCCCAGCACTTTGGGAGGCCGAGGTGGGTAGATCACTTGAGGCCAGGAGTACAAGACCAGCCTGGCCGACATAGTGAAGAGACGGGGATCTCTACTAAAAATACAAAAATTAGCCCTACTCGGAATGCTGAGGCATGAGAATCACTTGAACCCTGTAGGCTGAGGTTGCAGTGAGCCCATACGGCACCACTACCCTCCAGCCTGGGTGACAGGGCAAGACTCAGTCTCAAAAACAAAATAAAATGAAAACAGGACCATTAAGAGGAAAGGAGGAATAGAAGTCAAGTACCAGGGATGAATTAATGACTGTAGCTGGGACTAAAGGCCCTGCTGTCATTGAAAGGGAGGTCTGAGTGAATTGTATTGGAAAAACTACACTTTAACTTTGCTCAGGCAAGGAGCCCTGAGGCCTACCTTTTTTTTAAAGCTTCAGTTGCCACATTTGTAAAACAAGGACTTTGGATATGATGGCTCTGAAACTGCCTCCAAGTTTGGAAACTTCTGATTCTGAGATGCCAAGATATTTTCATTAAGTGATGCCCAATTCTTCCATCTCAGTACCTTGGTAGTCATGTGACTAACTGCTCAGCTTTCCTGCTTTTGTGAGATCATTACTGCCAGTTCCAAGTGCATTTGGCTGCCAGAGAGCAAACATTCCATGTGTGAACCAGGGATATATACTGCTGTGACAGTAGGTCCGCACATTGGAGGGATGCTGACTTAACCTGAAACAGCACTAAACACAGTGTCATCTCCAACACACTATTCGGGGGCCTAGGCCTGCGCAAAGCCTTCTAATTTGCTTTTAGATGGCATCAATCTTTGTTCCTCAAGCTTTTGAGGAGCTAAGAATCAGAATCCTAGGAATCTTATACTTTGTACCTATATTTCTGTGAAAGTTAGCAGGTCTACCCCTGCTGCTTTCAATCAGGTGGGATTTGTTACACCTGGACCATCATTAGCCAACTTAATAGCTGAAGTTGTACTTGATATGACCTAGGGTTGGGGCTGGAACCCGTCCTCAGGAGGCGCTTGCTGGGGAGATCTATGTATATCACTTGACTAACACAGTCACAGCAAATGGTCATGTTCTCTCAGTAGCAGCCCACACATAGTTTCCAGAAGGCATCAGTAGCTCCTTATAGGTACCTCAAACCTACAAGTCCATAAACGGAGCCACAGGTCAGGGTGGGAATGGGGATTTTTTTTTTTCTTTTCCATTAATTCTTACACAGCGTTCTGAGCGCCATCACTGAGGCATACACAAAAAGTAGAAACAAAGAAAAGCACCTTCAGCATAGAGGTTAAGGACACAGGCTCCTGGGCTTGAATCCTGGGACTGCCGCCTCCTTACTGTGCTGTCTGACCTAGGGCAAGTGACTTCACCTCTCTGTGCCTCAGTGTCTTATAAGACTATTGTGAGGGTTAAATGAGTTAATTCATGTAAAGCACTGTGAGTAATGACAGCCCCATGTAAGTGTGACTGTTATTGTGGCAAGTCCTATGGCAACTGACTTAGACATTTATTTAACATTAACTACAGTTCTTTTTGAAAGGGAAAATACAGGAAATTACTGAGTTCTGCCACACTGGATTGTAACAAATGTCTGTGACTAGGGGTACGTAGGAGGAAGGAAATAAACAGATGGATGGACCAGGCCCTTGTTTCTTTTACTTCCTGCTACATAAAGGGTTTTGTACTGTGCCTGATTGCTTTAATTTTGGGGGACTAAATAATATGAATTGGAAATCTCTCCATGTTAGAATATGTAGATCCACCTTATTATTTTAACTGTTGCAGAGTATTACTTACTATAGATCTACACTAGGTTATTTACATATTCCCATATAGTGATTGACACTGATCTAATGTTCATTGTGTACTGGATGTGGGAGGGAACATAGGTGCTAAAGCAGGGTTCCCAAGAGGTTTGTAATTTTGAGGGTTTGTAATTTTGAGGGGGAATTCAAGACTTACATAAAATAATTGGACGGCCGGGCGCGGTGGCCCAAGCCTGTAATCCCAGCACTTTGGGAGGCCGAGACGGGCGGATCACGAGGTCAGGAGATCGAGACCATCCTGGCTGACACGGTGAAACCCCGTCTCTACTAAAAAATACAAAAAATTAGCCGGGCGAGGTGGCGGGCGCCTGTAGTCCCAGCTACTCCGGAGGCTGAGGCAGGAGAATGGCGTGAACCCGGGAGGCGGAGCTTGCAGTGAGCTGAGATCCGGCCACTGCACTCCAGCCTGGGCGGCAGAGCGAGACTCCGTCTCAAAAAAAAAAAAAAAAAAAATTGGAAACCAGTATAAGAACCTGTGTATAAAATATTAAACTGGATTGAAAACTAAGTGTCAGTACTAGTGTAATACTCAGTGGTGGGTGAAAAGATGGGATTTAATAGGAAATAACAACACAATGCATGCATATATTGGAGTGGAGGCCCTGGCTCCTGGAAGCTCTGGCTGGAGTAGAGAGGAAATTTACCCTCTAGTTCTTCCAGCCTCCCTGAAAAATTACTCAACACAAGAAGGACAAGTCTACACTCCCTTAACAAGCTACAACACAGGAGCACACGGGTGTCTCTGCAGGAGGTGGAATGCAGCAGGCCTAGGTGCTCTCCTGCAACTGGCTCAGCATGTGGGCAGCACCTTCCTCCTAAAGCATAGGGGTGCAGGGGAGAGTTCCCACTCCCACCTTCTGTTAGAGGCCAGTGTTGTTTTCCAGTGTTGTTTTCCCTGAAGCACAAATGGTGCCGGTCCTTCAAGGTACAGTGACTCTGCTGAAGGAACTGGATTGAGAACTCCCTTTTTTTTGAGGTCTTTAATCCTTTGTTTGGCCCTGATTCCTTAGGAAGAACTCACAGGGTTGAGAGAACAGTTCCCCTAAGGCCGAGCTGAGGACATTCTGTGCCTAGGTATTCATAAGCCGAGGCTGTATTTCTTCTACCCCACCCGTAAGCACGAATCACTAACCTAAACCAGCAACACCTGGTTGCCACAGGGAATTGGGTTGTGTCAAAGCCCACACTTAGCATTCCTTCTGCAAGTCCCTACCCAAGAACATTTGGGGTACATTAATTGGGGTAAACCCTTTTTTTTTTTTTCTTTTTGAGATGGAGTCTCACTCTGTCGCCCAGGCTAGAGTGCAGTGGTACGATCTTGGTTCACTGCAACCTCTGCCTCCAGGGTTCAAGCGATTCTCCTGCCTCAGCCTCCTGAGTAGCTAGGATTAGAGGAATGCACCACCACACCTGGCTAATTTTTGTATTTTTAGTAGAGGCGGGGTTTTACCATATTGGCCAGGCTGGTCTTGAACTCCTGACCTCATGATCCGCTCGCCTGGGCCTCCCAAAGTGCTGGGATTACAGGTGTGAGCCACTGCGCCTGGCCAGAATTTCCTTCCTTTCTAAGCCTGAATAATATTCCATTGTATGACTATATCGCATTTTGCTTATCCATTCATCTGCCAGTGGACACCGGGTTGTTTCTGACTTTTAGCTGTTGTGAATATGCTGCCATTAACATCGGTGTATGGGTATGGGAGTCCTTTCTTTCAATTTTTTTTGGGTACGCACCTAGGAATGAAATTGCGAAGTCATATGGTAATTCTCTAACTTTTTGAGGAACTGCCAAACTGTTTTCCACAGTGGCTACATCATTTACATTCTCACCAGTCATGCATGAGAATTTCAATTTCTCTATATCCTTGCCAAAACTTGCTTTTTTTTTCTTTCTTCTTTCGTTTTTTTCAAATAGTCATCCTAATAGGTAAGAAGTTGTATCTCATTTTGTTTTGATTTGCATTTGTCTAATGACGAGTGACACTGAGGCTTTTTTTCATGAAGCTTGTTGGCCATTTGTGTATCTTCTTTGGAGAAATGTCTACCCTAGTCCTTTCTCCTTTTTTGAATTGAGTTGTTTTGTTTTCTCGCTGCTAAGTTGTAGTTTTTTATTCTGGATATCAATTCCTTAACAGAAATATGATTTGCAAATATTTTCTCCCATTCTGTGGGTTGTCTTTTCACTCTTTTAATTTTTATTTATCTATCTATTTATTTATTTATTTTGAGATAGAGTTTTGCTCTTGTTGCCCAGGCTGGAGTGCAACAGCATGATCTCAGCTCACCACAACCTCTGCCTCCCGGTTCAGGCTATTCTTCTGCCTCAGCCTCCCAAGTAGCTGGGATTACAGGCATGCACCACCACACCTGGCTAATTTTGTATGTTTAGTACAGACAGAGTTTCTCCATGTTGGTCAGGCTGGCCTCGAACTCCCGACTTAAGGTGATCCGCCCGCCTCAGCCTCCCAAAGTGCTGGGATTACAGGTGTAAGCCACTGTGCCCGGCCTATTTATTTATTTATTTTTATACAGAGTCTTGCTCTGTTGCCCAGGCTGGCGTGCAGTGGCACAGTCTCGGCTCATTGCAACCTTCGCCTCCCAGGCTCAAGCGATTCTCCTGCCTCAGTCTCCTGAGTAGCTGGGATTACAGGCACCTACCACCATGCTCGGCTAATTTTTTTGCATTTTTATTAGAGACAGGGTTTCACCATATTGGCCAGGCTGGTCTTGAACTTCTGACCTCAGGTGATCTGCCTGCCTCAGCCTCCCAAAGTGCTGGGATTACAGGCGTGAACCACTGTACCCAGCCCTTTTCACTCTTTTAATAGTGTGCACAAGTTATGTATTTTGATGAAATCTAATTTATCTGTTTTTTCTTTTGTTGCCTGTGATTTTGCTGTCACATTCTAGAAATCATTGTGAAGTCCAATGTCGTGAAGATTTTTCCCTGTGTCTTCTTTTAAGAGTTTTATGGTGTTAACTCTTAAGTTTAGGTCCCTGGTTCATTTTGAGTTAGTTTCTGTATATGGCATAAGGTACGGGTCCAGTTTCATTCTTTTGTATGTGGGACTATCCAGTTTTTCCAGCACCATTTATTGAAAAGATTATCCTTTCCCCATTGAATGGTCTTGGAACCCTTGCTGACAATCAGTTTACCATATATGCAAGGGTTTATTTCTGGGCTCTATTCTATTCCACTGGTCTATATGTCTGTTCTATTGCGTTTAAATAAGTATACAGGGGCCAGGTGCGGTGGCTCATACCTGTAACCCCAGCACTTTGGAGGCCAAGGCAGGCAGATCACCTGAGGTCAGGTGTTCAAGACCAGCCTGGCCAACATGGTGAAACCCCATCTCCACTAAAAATACAAAACTTAGCATGTCATGGCACGTGCCTGTAATCCCAGCTACTCAGGAGGCTGAGGCAGGAGGATCACTTGAACCGGGGAGGTGGAGGTTGCAGTGAGCCAAGACCATGCCACTGCACTCCAGCCTAGGCAACAAGAACGAAACTCCATCTCAAAAAAAAAAAAAAAAAGTATATGGGGACTGGGTGCAGTGATTGACACCTGTAATCCCAGCATTTTGGCGGGCTAATGGGGAAGGATTCGCCTGAGCCCAAGAATTCTAGACCGGCCTGGGCAACATGACCAGCTCCTGTCTCTATTTTTCAAAAAAGAAGCGTATGGTTTCTTCCAACCTCTTGTACTTATACCATTCCCTCAAAGAGAAGGAGAATTAGGAGGAAAAGTCTCAAACACAAAAGAATTTAATGTTATGGTGTCCTGGGTTTGAATGTTCTGAAGATGCCAGTAGATGAGCATTAAAATGTCAGGGTTGGGCAAACATTTTATTCTGTCTTGAACTCATCCCCCCTTAATATCTTAGGTACAACCATTCTCTACATTTTCTCTCTGTGCTGCTAAACTTAGAGGACCCAAGTCAGGATTGGGAGGAGACTGATTTTGTATGTGTTTGGCCTTTACTGTAGAAGAAAAATAACTGCAACTAGGCCAGGCACAGTGGCTCACGCCTGTAATCCCAGCACTTTGGGAGGCAGAGGCAGGTGGATCACGAGGTCAGAAGTTCGAGACCATTCTGGCCAACATAGTGAAACTCCATCTCTACTAAAACTACAAAAAATTAGCCGGCTGTGGTGGTGTGCGCCTGTAATCCCAGCTACCAGGGAGGCTGAGGCAGGAGAATCGTGTGAACCTGCGAGGCGGAGGTTGCAGTGAGCCGAGATTGCACCGTTGCACTCCAGCCCAGGCGACAGTGCGGAAAAAAAAAAAAAGAACTGCAACTAATCAACATTTATTTACTGAGCACAACTTACGTGAGGCACTATAACTTACATAAGTTGTGCTCAACTCATGGTGGCTTATAGTCATATCGGAGAGGTATATATATCAAGGCGTGACTTGTTACTTGGAGATAGAGAAATGCGAATTGAAGTAGTTGGCAAGATATCCTAAGGTGGGGTCTTTTGGTTTTGTTAAAGAAGAATAAATTCAGATTCAGGAATGAATGAGGAGAAAACTGGGAATGAAACAGGCAGGAACGAGTAAGCTATCTGGGACAGTGCAAAGGCCTTTCTGACCAGATCAGACGGTGTGTGGGGAGGAAAGAACAACTGGATAGGTGGGGTGGGGCCGAATTATGGAGGATTTTTAAATAACCAGGCAAAGGAATGTGTACTTGATTCAGTAGACAGTAGAAAACTCAAAAGTGGTTTTTTTGGTTTTTTTTACACAGTCTCACTCTGTTGCCCAGGATAGAATGCAGTGAGGCAATCTTGGCTCACTGCCACCTCCACCTTCTAGGTTCAAATGATTCTCCTGCCTCAGCCTCCCAAGTAGCTGGGACTACAGGCATGTGGCACCATGCTTGGCTAATTTTTGTATTTTAGTAGAGATGGGATTTCGCCATGTTGGCCAGGCTGGTGTTGAACTCCTGGCTTCAAGTGATCTGCCCGCCTTGGTCTCCCAAAGTGCTGGGATTACAGGCGTGGGCCACTGCACCCAGCCTCAAACGTTTTTAAATGATATATATATTTTTTTTTTAATGGAGGAGTGGGGCACAGTTTTAGGTAGGTTGGTTCAGGAAGGGATGCAATATAGATTAGAGGGCAGGAATTGATTCAGTTCTCAGAGAACTTCCCTGGAAAAGAAAGTCATAGATCTTTGCCCCAAGCCCAATGCCAAGCTGAGGTATCTTTCACGACGTTTCTGACTGAAATCTACTGACAGAAAATACACTGGCTCTAAGATCTTCTGAGATCTTGCCCAAGCTTAACCCAGCCCACTAACCTTTTGTGCTAATGGCATGAAATGCCCACACTTGGTTCTGGTTTGGGCTGGCACCTTCCCCCGCTTGCCTCACTGTGGTGCCATGTTTCCAAAGCTTCCACACTCCAGAAAGGGCTATAACTTTAGTTTCCTCATTTTTACAAAAGGTCAGGTTTTCAAAAGCTTGGATCAGCTAGGATTTGTCTATGTTGCTGAAGATACATGAAAACGGGGACATTGCAGTTGACCTTTAGGGCCTTCTCTCCACCCCCGCCCCCATCTCCATCACCCCAGAGCTAAGCCTCCTCAGGACCTAGTACTTCTCTTCATGCAGTGGTTTCTCACACTGCTGAAAATTACCTGTGACTCATACAAGTGGTTCAAGCTGCTCAGTCCCAGACAGGAATGTTGAGTCTTGCCAGCTGACATGTTGGGGTCACAAGAAAGAGAGAGCAAGTGTCCTGTGGGCTGGAATCAGGGGAGATGCACAGACACCCTGTGAACATTCCAGAGTGCGGGGCTGAAGAATGGCCTGAGAGGTAGATTTCCCTGTGGTCAGAGGCGAGCTGCAATTTTACCCTCCCTTCCCTGCCCAAACACTCCTGACATTGGAATTTCATCAAATGGCTACCGTGTTTGGTTTTCAACCAGGACAAACAAAGAAAAGAGATTTGCTTTCCTGTCTGCTTTTGCTGAATGGAATCTCTGATTCTAATTACCAGCGTGCCTTAGACACCCTGGGGCTGGTTAGGACTTTAAAACCTAAGCACACAGGACTCTCAGCTTTACTGAATCTTTTTCCATATCCTGAGCCCGAGTTCAAACTTCATCCTCCCGGTCCCCCATGTCCCTTCAATCTCTGATTAATTCTCCAGTCAACTTCCTGCTAATAGTCCACCCACAAATTGCTATTTCAGCTGAACTTTCCCAAAACTTGAGCATCCTTACCAAATATCTCGGACTTCCTCACAACCTGGTTATCTTCTCATCTGCCTGCCTTTCTGCAATAATTTTGAAGTGTTAAAAAAAAAAAACTCCTCTAATTTTCAAGGGCATGCAGGAAACTCAGCCCCTAAGGAGCACTGCAGAAATCTGGAGTTCTACTCTGTTTATACCTAAATCTAGCCTTCCAGGAGTTTCAGATAGTGTCCTGGAAACATTCTTAATTGAAAATGGGGTGAGGAGCAAGACAGGGGATTGTGAATTACAATCACAAACAGCACACACATAACACAGCGACAGTCTTTGCATTTCTCATTTCTGATCCCAAGGATCAAGAGGTAGAGGCAGGCCGGGCGCAGTGGCTCACGCCTGTAATGCCAGCACTTCGGAGGCCGAGGCAGGCGGATCACGAGGTCAAGAGATAGAAACCATCCTGGCCAACATGGTGAAACCCCCGTCTGTACTAAAAATACAAAAATCAGCCGGGCGTAGCCCCAGCTACTCGGGAGGCTGAGGCAGGAGAACCGCTGGCACCCGGGAGGCGGAGGTTGCAGTGCACGCCACTGCCCTCCAGCCTGGTGACAGAGCGAGACTCCGTCTCCAAATAAATAAATAATAAATAAATAATAAATAAATAATAAATAACAAGGTAGTGGCAGCTCTCAGGTGAGTACATTCGCAGATGCCCACACATGTCTGGAACACACCCCGGGGTCATTAGAGACGCCCAGCAGAGGCGGGAGGATCTTCCGTTTGGTGTTCTTTCGGAACGTTTGTCCGGAGAGCATCCTGTTCTGTTACACGCATATCCACCGCCGTCTCCAAATTGCTGGGTTGAGCACAGTACTCAGGGCCCGGCACTGAGTTAGAAATAGAAAATGAGCTGGCGAGCCCCGGCCCAAGGCCATGACAGGGGCCATTACTGAGCCCATTCCCCACCGACCTTTCTGCTGTTTCACTGCCTCTCCTCCTTCCCCTCCAGATCCCAAGCGCTTGACTCCTACCTCTTCTACGGCATTTTGAAACGTTTGCGAATGCACCCTTGATCCTAGCACGTACTGAAGAAGCAGCTCCCCCCAGAACATCTGGCGTGAAGTTGACCCCTTCTTCCTCCCCCGCCGTGTGCGTCTGTGCACAGGCGCCGAAGCCTGCTGGGGAGGGGCACGAGGCGGGGCTGGGGCGTCTCCGCAGGGAACCCTTCGCCCTGCCCGGGGCGCACACCCCCAGCCTTTGAGGGAGAAAACTGAATGGGGCCGGCGGCTGGCTCTCTTTGGGGATTTGCATTATACAGGCTATATTTAGAAGGCCGGAGCGGTGGCTCACGCCTGTAATCCCAGCATTTTGGGAGGTCGAGGCGGGCAGATAACCTGAGGCCAGGAGTTCGAGACCAGCCTGGTCAACATGGTGAAACTCCGTCTCTACTGAAAATACAACAAAATTAACCAGGCGTGGTGGCCGGAGCCTGCAGTCCCAGCTACTCGGGAGGCTGAGGCAGGAGAATCTCTTGAACCCAGGAGAGGGAGGTTGCAGTGAGCCAAGATCACACCACTCACTGCACTCCAGCCTGGGCAACTAACCAAGACTCGGTCTCCAAAAAAAAACCAAAAACGACAAAAACAAAATCACCACGAAAAAAAGAATAAAAAAAAATAGAAGCAGCTTTCCTGCTGACAGAAAGCAATTGCCCACTCTGCTGTAATTACAACTGAAGAGTCACTTTCTTTCAAAAACTCTATTTTCAGATGTTTACCACTTTCTTTAAAAAGGAAAAAAAAATTTGCCTCAAAGGCAGGCAGTCCCCAGGGCGTTTCTGGTCTCCTGGGGAAGGAACCTAAGAGCGGTTTGGTAAAATTCCATTTTGCTATCTTGGTGTTACCTAAGGACAGGAACTGAGGTGGGGCTTTGGTGACGGCAGGGACTGAAGAGCGTTCTTTTTCATCGTCCAGGGTGTCCAGTTGTTTGGTTTTCCTGGGCCACACTGGAAGAATTGTCTTGCCCCACACATAAAATACAGTAACACTATGATAAACTCAAAAAAAAAATCACAGAAAAACTTCGTGTGTGTGTGTATATATATATATATATAATTTTGTTGTTGTTGTTGGGACAGAGTTTCACTCTTCACACCCAGGCTGGGGTGCAATGGCGCAATCTCAGCTCACCACAACCTCTGCCTCGTGGGTTCAAGCGATTCTCCTGCCGCAGTCTCCTGAGTAGCTGGGATTACAGGCATGTGCCACTACACCTGGCTAATTTTGTATTTTTAGTAAGATAGGGGTTTCTCCATTTTGGTCAGGCTGGTCTCAAACTCCCGACCTCAGGTGATCCGCCTGCCTCAGCCTCCCAAAGTGCTGGGATTGCAGGCGTGAGCCACCAGCCCAACCAAGAACTCATAAAGTTTTAAGAAAATTCACGAATTTGCTTTGGGCTGCGTTCAAAGCCGTCCTGGGCTGCACGGGGCCCACAGGCTGTGGGTTGGACAAGCTTGCTAGACTGTCATGAAGTGAACTGTGTGGAGAGACCTGGAAGACGGAATCCTGGGTTGTGTTGGACTCTCGCCGCCATTGGACCTGTGCTCCCTCCCCCCAGGTAGCATCACAGTGGCCAGTGGAGAAGGGAGCCAGACTGCCTCGGTGCAAATCCCAGGCGCCTAGTCCTGTGGACCCCTTGCTCCTTGGGTGAACTTGGGAAGCTCCTCATCCTTTAGGCCCCAGTTTTCCCCCATGTAAAATGAAGATAATAATGGGACCTACCTCGTAGGATCATTGTGAGGATTAAATGAATTAGCACATGAAAAGAGTGTCATTACCGGAAAGGGGTCCCGATCCAGACCCCAAGAGAGGGTTTTTCGGATCTTGTACAGTAACTCTGGGCTATTCCATAAAGTAAAGTGAAAGCGAGTTTACTAGAGAAGGAAAGAAACACAAGAACGGCTACTCTATAGGCAGAGCAACCCTGAGGGCTGCTGGTTGGCTCTTTTTATGGTTATTTCTTGATCGTATGCTAAATAAGGGGTGAGTTATTCACGAGTTTTTTGGGAAGGAGATGGAGATTTTCCCCCTCCCCCAATTGAGGACTCCTCCTTCTTTTAGACCATATAGGATAATTTCCAGGTGTTGCCGTGGCATTTGTAAACTGTCATGGCGCTGGTGGGAGTGTCTGTTAGCGTGCTAATGTATAATTAGCGTATAATGAGCAGTGAGGACAACCAGAGGTCGCTTTCATCGCCATCTTGATTTTGGTGGGTTTTGGTCGGCTTCCTTACTGCATCCTGCTTCATCAGCAGGGCCTTTGTGACCTGTATCTTGTGCTGACCTCTTACCTCATCCTGTGACTAAGAATGCCTAACCTCCTGGGAATGCCACCCAGCAGGTCTCGGCCTCATTTTACCAGCCCCTATTCAAGATGGAGTCACTCTGGTTCGAACGCCTCCGACATAGACACATATTATATAGGCATTACCACGGTTATGTTTTTTGCTTTCCCTGTCTGTCAAGTTAGGAAATGCTGTTAGTTGTTATGTTGGTCACTCTGTAGCAGAGCCAGAAAGTGTCCACTGTGTGCCAGACACTCCTTGTAGGTGATGCTGTGAGGAGATGCGGAAGCAAGGAAAGAACTGGCTCCTTCCTATGCACTCCGAGATCTCTGTGAGGAGCCTTCTCCCTTCCCCTCTATGAAGAGTGCTCATGGAGATCTCAGACTGCATACGAAGGGAAACATCCACACCCAGTTTTCCCTGGTGGAAAGGTGCGACACAGAGGTCTGCCAGAGGCTTGTGGCCCCTTCTCCACCCAGAGCAGCATCTCAGCTCAACCTGGGGAGCCAATAAAGCGGTGCAGGGATCCTGCAGGCTCTGGCAGACTCAGCCTTGACCTTTGGATCCAGCTCTCTGTCCCCATGGCCAGTCTTCTCACTCCCAGGCCTTCTGTCTAGCACAGGGTGTGAAGGAGGAGCCGGCGGGCAGGGCGGGGAGGATGCGGCAGGGACAGGGACAGCACAGGAAGGACTCGGCCTAGCCGACTGAGATTTTTTTTTTTTTTTTTCTTTTTGAGACAGCGTCTCGCTCTGTCACTCAGGCTGGAGTGCAGTGGCCCAATCTCGGCTCACTGCAACCTCCACCTCCCGAGTGCAAGTGATTCTCCTGCCTCAGGCACCCAAGTAGCTGGGATTACAGGCGCCCAGCTCTAGCTGAGATTTTGGCAGGGGTCTCTTGAGCAGCTGATGGGCTCCTGTCACTGTGCCCAGTCTGTCCCAGGCGATTCTGGCTCCACTTAAGCCCGGTCTTCCTGCCCCACACTCAGAGCCCAGGTCTGGGCACAGTGGTGCCATCCTGAGTGTGTGTGTGGTATGCTGCAGCTGTGCCCACAAAGTCTGCCCCGGCCTCTCATGAACACCCAACCCATTTGAGGCTTCAATAACTAGAATTTTCCTTGCTTCACTTTATCTAAATCCTATCAAACTTGTCAAGGGCTACCTCAGTCTCACCTCCTCTAAGAAGTCTTCTCTCATTGCCCAGCGGATGTCAGTCTCACTGTCCTAAGTTTCCTAGTTTTCTATTTCATTCATTTAGAAATTGGAAATGTAGAAATGTACTTAATTATATTCTCAAAAAATATTTGAGCACCTGTTTGATCGCAAGGCAGCGGGGATGGGTGTTGGGGCATCCATGAAAATACAGGACAGGATCTTCTAACAAGAAGCTTAAATTCTAAAAGGATGAAAAAAATTCTAAAGGCATGGCCTAGAAAATTCCTTATTGCCATATGTTGCTTTTCAGGTTGGATACTATGAGTTAATTCAAAAATAATAGTTAACAGTTGTTAGGTGCTTGCTATGGACCATTACTGTATTTAGCACTTTACACAAATTATTTTATTCAATTAATGTGTTTTTTTGAGATGGGGTCTGGCTCTCACCCAGGCTGGTGTACAGTGGTGTAATCACAGCTCACTGCAACCCTGAACTCCTAGGATCAGACAACCTTTCCGTCTCAGCCTTTTGAGTAGCTGTAACTGCAGGCGTGTCTTACCACACCTGGGTAATCTTTTAATTTTTGTAGAGACAGGGTCTCGCGATGCTGCCCAGGCTGATCTTGAACTCCTGGGCTCAAGCAATCCTCCCACCTCAACCTCTCAAAGTGCTGGGATGACAGGCGCGAGCTACTGCACCAAGCTAAGTTATTTTATTTAACTCTTCAGAGTATCCCATTTCGTAGATACTATTATTATTATTCCTACTTTAGAGATGAGGAAACTAAGGGGCAGAAAGGTTGAGTGACTGCCTAGTATCAGCTAGTGAGAAAGCCAGGATTTGAGCCAGGCACCCTGACTCCATTGTTTATACCCTTAACCACAGCGCCAGATTTCTTCTGTGTTTCACCTTTTATGTTCAGCTAGAGTGAAACTCTTAAGTCCTGGAGAGCCCTGTGGCACTGAGTGCATCAATGCCTTTGTAGGTAGGAGGCTCTGGTAGGAGGTAGTCAATATTCAGGGATGCCTTGATGATCAGGCGATAATCAGGCCCTGTGGCAGAGAGAAGAGTGTCCAAAGTTTCTTAAGTTCTGGGCAATAGAATTGGGAAAAGCAACCAGGAGTCCAGCACCTAAATATTGCTGTATACTAACTCTTAGCTCCCACTACCTCCTTGCTAACGCAGCTCTTTTTTCAGGCCTACACCATGGTTCCCGTGAATGTAGCCAGCAGATATTAGGAGGGCTTCTTGTGAATACCTCTTCCCTGGGTGGACACAGGCCCATCAGGAACAGGCCCAGAGGCCTAGTGACTTCAGACTAATGCTTGCCAGGACCAGTGAGGTCAAAACATTACCCAGAACTGAGGCTTGATGTCCTGTCTTGAGGACAGACTCATCCCATCCTATCTGCCGAGTTATAGTGATTGTACTTCTGAGAGAACAGGGAACACTCCAAGCAAGAACATATCAGTCCTCATTCAAAGAGAATGATTCTCCTAAATTTAATGAAACTCTTACAGCCTAATCCCTCACCTATCATGACATCTATTTATTTCATATTCATTGATCATCTACTTGGTACAAGAAACTGTGGCTTCCTCCCCGTAAAGGAGGTGATTACAGTTTTAGACACACATATCTACAAGATGAGTCATAGGATAACGATTATCCTGTCATCCATTTATTAAAAATTGCTTATCCATTCCCTCTCTGCTAGTAAGTGTTTTGATAGACTCCATCTCATTTAATCTTTAAAACAAATCTGGATATAATTATTCCACATGGTGGACCAAGCTCTGAAAAGGGACTTTATCGTAGAGTCTGCTCCTAAC